CTATTCTAATCTGTAATGTGAATAGGTATTCGTCCAGTTTCTTTTTCTTCGCTTGAAATAATTATCATTAATATAGATCATCAAGAATAATTTGTAAGTATCTGTAAAATAAATAAACATTGAAACCAATAAAATTAAATTCATATTTATTGAAGAAAAAAGAAAATGATTCGCTTCTCCATCTACATTGACAACAATCATGAAACTTGATGAAATTGACAGATAATGAATGATTGTTTCACCATGTTCCATGATTTCTCAGTATACAAGTCACATGATATCATTTAGTATCAGATACTTTCAATCATTTAGATTATTGATTTAACTATTTACACGTAAAACATTTTAGTTCTAACATGTTTTGATTTAAGTATCACATGAATTATATGAGGAAAGAGATTCGAAAAATTAACGGATTATTGTATTTCTACTGATTTCTTTCTTTAACGCATACTACAACTACTAGTATTGAACTGTATACTTTCATTTTAATGTGAACATTAAACTTAAATTTTTTTGCTACATGTGATTGGTTTTAATAGATCATGTTTATTAAGATTAATGTTAAGTTTACATTAGAAAAATCCTCATATTTAATGAATTAGATTCAAAGTACCACTGAAATACTTTTTTGTGGAAAAACTTGTCCATAGAATTGCAGAAAATAATATAAGATTATATGAGATTATATAACGATTGAATGGACTTTAAAAAAAGTAATATCGTGCTAAAAACAATTTCCGTTACTTAAAGTATTATCAAGACGTTTTATAACTGAATAGATAACTGCTCACGTTACTGATTTTTAAACTCCAACTATATGAAGATCAGAAGGCTGAACGATTGGTTACTTGACGTAACTATAGTTGTCAATTATACGCAAAATATTCAACCAGTTTGATCGCGAGTTAATTATCAAATAAATGAATAATAGGCTTCAGTTCTACTATTTAAGTTAAAAAAGTTATCCTGTCTAACTGATAAAATTTATTCAGTGAGAATCCTGTCATCATCATTGACGAATACAATCTCATAACGTTTCAAATAGAACAGCATCAATCGATCAAGTGCTAAGCATCTCCAAGGCACTCACAGCATTAGGCATTCAACAATTTTGCAGATAAGCTGCATTTCGAAATAATAATGATGAGAATAGTAATAATAGTGATGTATATATTCAGTTAACATCATGGTCTGAAACTAGCTAGCTAAACACATGGAACAAAGAAACACTGGACAGATTTCTCGTCTTAGTATGGTTTTTTTCAGGAGTGAATACTTAGGAGGAACCCCGTCATAGGATGATGTGCCCTGGCTTTCATTATCAATTTGTGATATGGTGAAGCTCGATTGCTAACAGAGCACTATTCTTATGAAAGAAACATCGATATTTTAATGGTCATCAATCACTAAATTTATCAAACGTGTATAAATTACTTTCAGTAAAGTAAATACTTTAGGTATGACTAAATGATAAGAATAGATGACTAAAGCTATTAAGTATTATGTTTAGACAAATGTCTGTACTTCAGAGTGCGCAGGAGTATTTAACTACATAATCGATGGCCTCAGATGCTTAAGATGTTGCTAAGTAGTTCAATTATAAAATGATTTGCACGGACATTAATTCGGTCATGACCCTAATGTGTTTAGATATATTCAAAGTACATTCCCTAACTAAACAATACAATTTAATTACAAATGAAATAGTTTGTGTACTAGTCATAATTGTTATGATAGTTAACAATGTTAACTGTCAGTCAGGATCAAGGAAGTTTTTATTGGATTCAAGTTTGAGAATGCAATGTTTGGATTAAGCATTAGCTGATTGAACACAGTTTTACAACATATTTTGAACATCTCACACTAGTTTAGGTTGATTCTAAGTTCAAAGAAAAGATATATTTGAACAAATGACTTCTAACTTACAGAGTTAAAGCTCTACTCATTTTGTCAGCAAACTAAATTTACAGTCGAGTTTAAATTACACTTTAATTATTTGTTCCCCTAACATATAGAAAACTTGAGCTGTTCAAATAGATCCGTTGTTAAAAATAACAGGATGCTTTGTGAGTATCAAAATTTTACTTCCGTAATAAGAATTTCGTTGGTTTGTGTTTCTCTTATTTCTGCATAAACTGATGTAAATTCCCAGAGCCCCATTTTTTTATTTACTTACTTGTGAATATGAAACACTTTCTTTGGAAGTTCACGTTACTGTATATAAATTCTTTATGTTGAAGATACAGGAACTTCCTAAATACATACCTATTCAATATATTTCATGAATAATTACTTTTTTATTGAACTGGATTCATAGTTTTGAAGGAATAAAAAGAACTCATGTATTACAGGATATAAACCCATATGCTATGGAATTAACTACCTCTTTATGTATATGCTGTTGTAGATAATGTTGATTGTTCGTAACATGTACATGTATGAAAGCACTGAATCCATTCCACATAAAGAGTATTCTGTGTTTGAACAAAGCGACTATCCACAACCATCTGATAATAAATATCTGTCCACTTCATAAAAATCACTTCAAAACATCAGTCAAATATCTTGTGTATAAATCAGGGATAAATTTCATTTGTCTACAAAAGCATGATCAATTACTCTTACTGGCACCGAAAGATGGGGTGTAATAATTCGTACCTAAACAACGACAGATTTTCACTACAATTAAAAGACAGCATATTTGTTGAAAATTATAGTAGCTTTTCCCGTGGGAGTACTAAAAATGTCCAATGTTAGTCAAAACTACTAAACGAAAAAATCAAATCATATGCCTCTTCCTCATATTATAATTTAGCTCCGTAAGAACTCAATGATGTTTGGAATAATTATTTATCCTACATTTTCTTTACGGACCCTAACTTCATTTTATTTTCATCATGGTATAATATCTACTGGTTAAGTTACACTGGGTTAATTAGTAATTAGGCAAATGGTCAGTACATGTAACTGGCCAAGAAATGGCTTTCATTTATAAGAGACATGATATACACCAATGATGACTTAACTTTCTAAGGGAATACATATATATAGGATTGAATATATGTACGATTCGACTCAGCTAGGTCAATAAATTCCCTCACCGTCCTTCACTAGAGCAGTCAGACGGGCTCATTTATAGAAAAATTGAGTATCGAAATCAACTCTCAGACACCGCACGTAACATCTTACTTCCATGTTTTCAATCCCCTGATATTCACTTTTTATAGCAGTTAATGATTTCTTGAGTGCTGATCCACGAGTTATTATTGAGACAAATAAATTTTCACTGGATTTCACCCTACAAGATTAGCTAAATAAACACATTTATCGACCTTAGAAATTGTATAAGAAATATAGATGAGTACTTGAGTGAGCTGCTGTATTTAAAGAATGAAATTCCATATGTCAAAAATTGAGCCTCACAACTACACAGTGCTGGAGCTAATAGGTCATATATATTTACTAGACATCCAGCTTGTCGATGAAGTTTAGACAGGTTAATTTCAGTTTGAAATGAATTTTTATACTCCAGTGAGAATTTTTTGTTGCACTAGTCGACATCAGTAGTTCTCAAGTATGAGAATATCATAAAAGTCACCATTTAAGCACATACGTACGCTAGAAAATCACATGGAAGTCCCATGTTCCGAGAAATATAAAATTGGATACATTCACTTAATTGAGATCGGACATTGTGTCGTGTTATTCTTAGTCTTCAACAATCACGCAAAACAGAACCATGAAACTCGCATACACTAACAGGAATGAATTAGATATTCATTAAATTAACATAATAATATATCTTAGCTTTTACAATAACAAACATTGCTTGTTAGAGCTGGTGGTAAACTGGTACGAGTAATGAACATCATAGCCACAGCAGTCAGTAAAAATTGAAAAGCTTACCAGCAGATTTACTATTTTTATTTATTACTTTACAACAAAAATGAGCATTACCTACTTGCATAAAAAACTATGTATTTTGTAAACCTGTAAATGTCATGTTTCACAATTAGAAAGTACGACAGCGGAGTTATACTTTGCACAATCAGTCTATGACAGACAGACATAATTCATGGAACTTCGATAATTTCTTTTTTCAAAGAGTATAACTTTATAATTCTATTTAATTACATGTCTGAACAAAATAATTAACACGAAAACAGAAACTTTTAGATGAATAGACTTTTTCCTCTAGTGAATCAAAAATAAGAAATAATCCAAATACATTAGTACAATAATGAAGGGATTAAGAAGTAGACATTTCAAACTGTGTATACAACTCTTTTAATGTAGACAGAACACATAAAAGCAGAGACGAGGGGACTGGAGCTTTGTTTTCTTCGTCGTAAACATTAGTAAATGAATACTGACAAAGATGGTAACAGCAAATAGTCCACTGATATAATAAAGATGATAAGCAGTGAAGTATACACCGAGAATTTTTTTATGTAGAAACATGACTTTAACATAATCAAAAATATTTTACAGAATATAATCATAAGAAAAATATTACAAGTTTAAACACATTGTCATAATGATAAACAAGTATTTAAAAACAAATAATATGCCTAAGAATACAGAGTGCGGGAGTGAAGTATACAGAAACTTATATTTATATAGTCAGAGAAAGTGAAACAGTTGTGTAGCAAAGAGAAAGAAATAAGCATTTACACGGGACAGTGTGAAATGGTTCACTGGGAATGAAACTTCAGTTGGTAAATCTATTCTTACGAATCGAGACATACACTATTGTAATTTCGTAAAAGCCAACGAGAGTTTACAGATCAACAATCAGCAAAAAGTATACTAACACTGAACATCATTAAAAAATTGATATTAGTAAATATGTCAATGAAAAAGTCAAAAGATAAACCGTATATAGGTAAGCTAATATGCCGAGGGATTACAAATAAAAAATCTAACTTAGAACAAAAGATTAATAAGCGTATTTTAATAAACAGATAGATCAATTTCACAGAACCCATTCAAAGTTTTCACAGATTTCGCTTATGAATTCCATCGCAGGGAAAGCCATTTATTTCTAATGATAAGCTATAACCATTGGATATTTTGCTTTCCGAGGGGGGACAATTTACTTTCATCCCTTTTTTGATATAAAGATCTTCATCTCTGGGCGGAAGTAGAAAATCGTTACGTAAAAGTATGTAAAATAGAACTGGGTTCAGCAGATTCATGATGAACATACTTGTCCCCAACAATACAGTATAAAACGGTGTCATTTTTTCGGGGTCCATATACATGCCGTATGAAATACGAAGCAGTGCAAATCCTCGACAACCTGCGAATGTAGTTAGGTTCAGGACAGCATTGAACCGATAAGACATATTCATTGAAGGAACTTTGTGCATTTGCATCAATTTACGGGTGTGAAGAAATATGCTATTGACTTCAGCAAGTAAGGCGATAACTGTATACGCTATGTACCGAACTGACAGTACATTATAAATAAAGGCACTCAGAACCTATAAAACAAGTGTGTAATAACAAATTCACGAGTTTGAAATAACTGTTTATGAACGTATAACGGTATGTGTACTACTACTTTCGCTAAAAAAAATCGAAAGAAATCAGTTTTGATGCCTAAGACTACTGATTATTATTCTGTACTGTTAACAAGAATGTCAGATTATTAGAATTTCTTAGTTAAAAGTGTCGTGGTTTTATCGAAAATCAATGTAAACGTTGTAGTATTATTTCTTATTTCCCTATAAATATGAACCAAATTGCAGTTTTACTTTTAATTGCACGCTTTCAGATTACTTTATTAGTTTCTATTTGTAAGGTAACTAATACATCGAATTTCAATTCGAAAAATAACGCAGCCCCAAAATGGGAAGCGATGATTTTCACTAAATAGTATTTCTGTTTTGAAATGTTTCTGGTCAGATTACATCGTAGGTTCTACAGCACAGGATGGAACGTTTCATGCTGACTCCATATATGATACATACATCAAAGGCCATGGCTATAAGCTTCTGAGCCGACATACCTGAGCACTAGCTAATGGAAATTGCGTTCTTGTCGAATACCTTTTTTTAGCACCCCATTGTCTTAGGATAACAAGACGATAGATTTATTACTTTACAGCTAATGGTAGATCTGATTATCTCATATTGAACCTGTCACTTTTATGCTGTTATTTGAGTTTTACAGGAAAAATGATTTTAAAATGGATTATGCGGTTTTAATATAAAAGTCATTTCCCGATAGTATCAGATGAGTAGTATTCGTTGCATAGTTAGTATGACAAATGTGATACAACGACTACACGTAAGTTTCGATTGTTTTAGGGTTAGATAACTTCCATTGATGGTTCTTATGATTTTACTGTGTAAGTCCAAGAAAAGCAACATGTAAGCAATAGCACGTATTTTAACCTTTGTGAGATCCTACAGTGGTAGACAGGTCAGTTGGAATGTGATACTATTGGCCAAATGCTTCCATGAAAATAGTAAGTTCATTTTGGATATCAAATGAAGTCATGCAATCATACCGCGTTGAACAGCCACAAACGGACAATATATGAAGTTTGTAAAAACTCGGCACGCGCCCTTAAAGAGCATCACCTGATTTGACAGAGATTCGGATATTCAGAAATGGAGGATCTAGTCTGAAACGTAGATTCAGGAAACCATTGGTAATCACAAATTAATTACACTGATTTTCGGTGAGAGAGGCATGAATGATGAGAGGACGACAATAGGAATGAAAACAAATCTAGTAGATAGAGAGGAGAGTTGATTTCCAATATAATGAATTTATTAAATGTTGAAACGGAGGACGCCGACATTTCATGATCACCAGTATCATGAAATGACATTTCCGTTGGAGGACTGGTTCTCCACAACTCCCTGGCTGGGATACTAGGGACAGTACAACAAAGTGACTTGACACGTCATCCCATATGGCTCAGAATAGAAGCCATTGGCAATCTAGAGGAAAAAAGTATTCCCACTTCAAGAAAATCCCAGTGGTGTTATAACGTGATTAGTTCACTAAACATATGTTTTTAAAATTCCATAGAGTCACGATCTGTGTTGGTTCATGAAAACAGACGGCGACACAAGACGAAAGTTTGAACCTAAACTGGACACTTATTATTTAGAAACACAGTTCTTTAGCCACTGAGCTATGAAGTTACACACAGAAAGACCAAACAAATATCGCCGTACCAAGAATCTCTACTATTTTCCAAAGTTCCTGGAATCTACTCATACTGAAATAGCTTCTGGAAAACTGCGTTTTAGACAACAAAAACCGATTATTTTAATACTATCGATTGAACGATTAGAAACGGCTCCTACATATGATTGATAATCTCGTATAATCGAAAGCTTCCAGCTCTTATATCTAAGCCAAGCAAAAAGAGTTGCGACCTGTAAAAATCTGAACCAGATTTAGTAGAAATCAGCACCTTGGAAAATATATTACTTTAAATACACTGCATTACTTACTGCAATGTGATGCAAAGTTAATTCCCACATTTTGAATAATTGCCTCTGCGTGAACATATCCCAGAAATCATAAAGAAAGTAACCTAGGTAACGTTAAATTTTAAGGTTGTACAGTACCAGTAGAAACGGCCACTAAGTAATATGTAAAAGGCACGATATGGTCTACTGGATCATTCATCAACTCAGGATAATAGTAAAAGCTAGGGAAAATTAAACCACATGATTTTGACCAACCATAATAAATCCCATGTTCCAATTAAAACGGCATGTAACCAAGAAATCATCATATTACGCCACTTCCATATAGCGAGTGAACCTTTGCAAACTACAGTCTTAGGGGGGTTTACTCCTCGTAAAACATGGTCTAACGCACTGAAAAAAGTCATGGATAGAGCGATGCAGACGGCGCCGCGACCGGCACTCGCAGATGGCAGGAATCCATGCCAGTTCATTGGCTGTCGTGACCACTGATCACGCTTACTTGACCTTCGATTTATAATGTGAACGGATAATTTCCTACACTGGTACAATGTTCCAATATCAGTATCGGTTTCAGTTTTATGTGAACGAAAGGCTGAGTGATATATATATGTTTTACAGAAAAGGATTACTCAAATTGTTTAACATCATATACAACATGTTAAAAGGTGGAACTTTGTCAGTGAGTTGAAGCGAGGAGTTTCATCCGTGCAAAAATGCCATAGCTATTCGGATTTTGATATGTCGATATGTCGAGATGCGTTTGATCTAGACTGGCTATCAGGTGCAATGAATACCTATCACAGATTAGCAACTCGTAATCTAGTATGAATCCGTGATCGGACGACTTCAGCTAGGTGTGCCCTGAAGAACTATTGAGGTCAGCATGAATGTTGAAGAATTACAGAATTACAGATCTGCGTGTCACTACACTTTGATTTGACATCCTCAGGAGCTTACAAGAACGTGACTAATTTAGGTCATAAGCCTTTTCTCCTCAGTACGCAAATCTGAATCTGATGATTTGGTGACCATCCAAAATCCAAAGACAAGGAAAATGTGGAAATTTTACACGACTTCATGTCCGACAACAGCTTAACTATTCTCGGAATGAATTAGACGCGGTTCTTTGAACAGTAGCAGCTACGTGATCAGGAGCTCTAAGTGCAAACTACAGGGTTCTAAATCTTTAAACAGTTATTAGCTTGCACTATTTTTTTTTGATTGCGGTAAATCAATAAAAATCAGATTCATTTATTCTGTCGTCAGACATCTATGCTCCCTGTCTAGTTCTTTGGTCCGGTGGCAGGGCTTGTCAACCGGAAAAAAGCTGAATGATACGGGAATAGATTTTCATGACCATGAACATTCGCTGATAATGATCTCAATGATCAAGTCAGTAAGAAATTCGGGATCAAATGAGATTATGAGTTGGTGAGGACCACATAAAAGGGTTAAATCCAACTTACTCCTGAGTCTTGTAGTAATGGATACTTGAAGCCACTAGTTTTAACAGGATAGTATGAAATGACAGATAACTTCTTTGGAAACACACGTTTCTTAAACCATTTCAGAGAATATTCCGAGTTCTGACGATTATTATGAGACCGCGAAATAATCTGCCATAGAGAACATCCACACTACATGTTTCCCTCGAGAAAGATGCTGGGTCAGTATTTAACAAGATATTAAGGGGGATGAAAGTAGGTGTTTGTAATACAAGATGTCACTCAAACGTCTCTCTTAAGCCTCGTATAATTTATAAAATACCTGTCAAGTGTACTTGTACCTAACAGACTTGGGCTTAACTCAAAAATGAATTCGGGAGTTGTCTTACAAATCACTAACGTAGATAATCTGTGTCGAATGATTGAGGGCCTACTCGAGTTGTACTGGAATGGTATGACTAACAGCCAATGTCAAAGTCACACCTCGCAGTCAGCACCTAACGTGGTTTATCCCTCCGTCCATGGCGTTCGATTAATTGGTGCACGTTGGTTGCCATCGACCTTAAAAGGTTTCGATGAACTATTCAACATTCACTGACCCAGCTGCCGGATGATTTGGCCAAGGCTCAGTGACGTTTTACTGGTCCTACAATACTCCCCCATTAGATTCAACGGCCATTTGAATAGATATCAAATATGTTGGAAGTATTTGCGCATCAGGGTTTGCCAAAGGATTAATGCAAATCCTCCAAATATTGCCGGGCTGAAAGACAAATGGAAAAGAGGAGACAGAAACTGATCAGGAATAAGATGCTAAGAATAAATTGAATAGACTTTGATTGAATGGAAAACGATTAATTATGGAAATAATAGAAAAAAACATAACGTTTTAACGTTCTATCAAGTCGCGTTGAAAAAGATAGCTTTGAGAAGTGATTGAGTTCCCCAGATAAGAAACATTAAGTTTGCCGCAAGAATAATGATGCTACAGTGATAGTACGATAAGTGCATTATTTGTACTGTCATCGGTTTAAAGTAGGAAGCCAGACATTGTCGCTGATAACTTCTGCTCATAAGCATCAAATTCTAGGTATATCTATATTTCACAGACTAACTATAGGTAGAAAAGAATAACCGTGAAGCAAAGTCGTAATTTCGTCGTGCGAAGCTATTGACCAACTTGAATTCAGAATTTGAAAAGCCGATGACTGGTATTACAATCAGTAAGAATAGGAGACTACAGATCAAGAGCAAAGATTGCACTATAAAGTCTCTAATGGACGACAAATGCTGAGTGCTGCATGTTTGTTCAACAAGTGAACCGAAAAATATTGAAAAGAACATAGGAAACCCAAAGCGTCACTCTGGACACATGTCAACGATACCAGTCAAAAAGTCTGTCGGCGGTGCGATAGAGGCGACCATGTCATTTTCAGTTTGCAGAAGATTCACTTGGCTGAGTAAAAGGGTTATCCGTGACAATAATAGTATCGTCAAACTACCAATTGAACCGGACAGATCTTATCTCGTCGAGAAGTTGAACAGCTGATTGTTGTACCTAAATCACCTTTTACATAAAAACTACGAGAAAACTATCTCGTAAAATAAAGTACGACATCGAAGTTGAATAATGTCACGGCGAAATAACATCGTTCTTATATATACTGACAGTTGTGCTGAAAGTCCGTCTTGGTATTATCAGTGTAACAGTTGGATTTGTAAATACAAACACACGAAAACTGTGGTGGGGTTTGTGGAGAATTCCAGAGGCCATTTAGATATTGCCCAAGCCCGTTTGGCTTGAAAAATAAACTGAAAGTGGAATTATGATGACTTTCATGTAATAAGGAAGTCGATACATGGTTTACTATGTGAGACAACAACAACAAAAATCGTGTAGTAAAAACTATTTAATGATTGCCACTAATGTAACTAAAGTTCAGAAGGTTCAATTAAGGTAGTCATCTCGTAAAAAGCTGATGCAAAGAGCTTACTATCTAGCTTTAAATATCGTATTACGTGTGGTAATACGACGTTTTTTCTTAGTGTCAACTTGCGAGTCATATACGTATGCGATTTTGACTAAAACGTGACGGCAGTGATTGAATATATGACTGCGTGAAAGTAATTACGAAATGTTATTAGGCATCATAAACATAGTACTATAGTAATAACCTAATGCAGTTATGAAACTCGCCTGGGTTATTCTTGCTTCCAAGTAATGAAAATTTCTAGTAAACAGTAGTTGGAATCGGAATTATATGCGGAGTACTTTTGATTAAATCCTTGGATTAACACAGTGTTGTAGACTAAATTTGTATAAGTTCAGAATTAATTTAAGCGAAATACGTAGCATTGCCTGATGAACAGTCTAAACGAGGTCTATGATAGCAGGAAATTTATAGTTCAAACTAACCGCGAATTTCTAGCATTCGTATCCTCTATGTAACCTTGGAACTCAACAATTTCATATTAGGCAGGCAGTGGTCAAATAAGTAAAACATTTTTTGGGTAGTTTCTGATAGAAAATATTCGATAGTGGTTAAGCAGAAAGATGAATTTATAATCGACTGTTAATCTTGTCTCGTTTACACAACTGGATAAGTTACAAACAGATGTAAAGTCGATCGATGGACTGTTCGACATTCAGTGACCCAACTGCCAGATGATTTGGCAAGGTCTATGTCTTGTGATAAACACCAACATTGTCCTATCATTTGGAGGTGAGGGAAGAAATACTGTTTTTCCATTCATCAAACAGCGTCACCTGAAGCTACTTGAAGTCCAATCGACAATCCTACTTCAAAAGTGAGGTCCGAATTACTGATGAATGATTGAATTCAAAAACACTTCTGTCAAATCTTGTATAAGATTTTAAGTTTTGACGGGCTTGGACATTAGATTTACATGCATCCTGGAGTCGATAAACTCTCTAGGACGCGAGCGCAATACCGTTCGATCCAAACTCCATCTCGTTATTTGTTACTATCCACTATCCATCTCTGTTGAAAATCCTTGTGACTGAATGGCAAGAACGCGCCTATCCAATCAGGATGTACATATTCTAAATGACACTGTTCAATTGTGGTCTTACACATTGTTGGTTAAATCCGGGCGACCAATATATACGGATTTTATCACTTCTTAGCAATGAGGTACACTAATGTACTCACGATTTGACATCAATGTTGTAACCAATCCAGCAGTAAAATTGATTAGTCAAAACATTTGAGTTTAAAGTTCTAAATACTTTGACAGTAATACTGCTAAGAACTACGTTGTAGCGGTTGTTAATGGTTTCAACCAAATATCTCAATAGTTATGCAATACCTAATGCTGATTTTGTCAGTGTTGTCGAGTAAAATACTGATAACCTATCGCGCAACAATAACCACTACTTTCCAACAGGAGGATATCATCACATAACTGTTTACATTTACTATCCTTTCTAAACAACCTTACACAATTTATTTTATGTTGAACATGTAGACCATAATTTCCATTCGGCTCCCATCTAAACAGAATGACAAAATCTATTTTAAATAATGTCTAATTACAAGTACGAATAATGTTTAACACTGTATAACGGTTGAGGGCACTTGTTAACGGAAGGCTAGCTAATGCAAAAGGGAACACTAACATGAATGACCTATTTATTGAGAAAACATGTACTGTTACTGCTAATAAATATGCTGTAATAGTGTAGGAACTTGAAGTTAATCACCAATCATGTGCTCGCTAGTGACTAGATTCACCATTAACTCCCGGAGTCCTAGTGAGAAGCTGTGATCAGTTGACTCCAATCCGTGTCTAGTGTGAGGCAGATATTCACCCCAGGCAATGGATGAGGGGTTGCGCAAGATCATTTGTTGACTAGAGTTAGACATTACCATCTCTAGAAGTTGGCTCAGTGGTCTGTAAACTAAGCTCTTACGCAAGAGACCGCGTTCGGGATCGCAGATGCCTACTGACATCCTAGGACGAAACGGTCGCCCAGTGCTTCCAGACTTCCGACGATGATCTAC